TATTGAGTTTTAAGAGTATATATTCTGAATACATATTCTTTATCAGAAATGAGATTTGCAAATAGTTTCTCCCAATCTATGGCTTCTCTTTCATTATCTTAATAGAATTTTTTGCAGAGTAAAAGTTCTTAATATTAATGAAATCCAATTTATTTCTCTCTCTCTCTCTCTCTCTCTCTCTTTTTTTTTTTTGGTATGGATCATGCTTCTGGTGTTGTATCTAAGAAATTTTTGTCCAAACCAGGGTTACAAACATTTCCTCCTACATGTCTTCAGAAAGTTTTATACTTTTAGTTTTACACTTAGGTGCATATTTCACTGTCAGTTAATTTTTTATGTGGTGTGAAATATGGATTGAAATTTGTCCTTGGTTTAAAGCAGTTTGGCATGGTGTAGTTTTCTTCATATTTATTGTGCTTGGGATTTGTTGAGATTCTTGGATGAGTTGGTTATAGTTTTCACAAAATTTGAGAAAATTTTAGCCATTATTTCTTCAAATACTTTTTCCCTATCTCTCCCATCTCTTATTCTCCTTGATAACTCCAAGTACATATATTGCACCCCTTAAAAATTTCCCACAGCTCATTGATGTTTTCCTTTTTTCCAAGTGTTTTCTTTCTGTTTTCATTGGGATAGTTTTATTGGAATATATTCAAGTTCACTTGAATATTTTATACAATGTCTAATTCACCATCAATTCCATCCTGTAACTTTTACATCTCAAACATGTGGTTTTTGTCCCTGGACGTTCAATCTGAGCCTTTAAAATTATCTTTCATGTCTCTATTTAACATGTAAAATATTTTATCTAGTTTCTTAATCATACAGAACAGAGTTAGAGCAATGTTTTTAATGTCCTTGTCTGCTAATTCAATCACCTTTTCAATTGTGAATTCGTTTTGATTGATTAATTTTCTCACAATGATGGGTTGTATTTTTCTGCTGCTTTGCATGCTTAGTAAGTTCTTACTAGATTCCAGACAATGTGAATTTTATCTTGTTGGGTGCTTGATACTTTTGTACTATTATCTGTATTCTTGAGTTTTGTTCTGAGATGCATTTAAGTTTCTTGGAAGCAATTTGACCTCTTCAGGCTTCATTTGTAATCTCTGTTAAGTAGGACCAGAAAAGCATTTATTTAATCTCAGGCTCATTTTTTTCTCCACCACCCTTTAGAAAAAGCCCTTCTGAGTACTCTATCCAATGCACTGTTAATTATGAAGTTTTCCCCTATTGCTGGTGAGAACAGACATCACCAGTCTTACGGGAGCATCATGTTCTGTTATTTTAATAATAATTTTGGTTGCTTCTTTTCTGATCTTACTTTGCGTCCTCATGTTCATGTGTTGACCATACCCAGGTGAGTACTTCAGAGAATTTCTTTGTGGATCTCTGGACTTCTATTTTTGTGCAACTCTCTCTTCAGTGATACTCAGAGTTCTTACTGCCTTTACCTTCTTGGACTCCCAACTGAATCAATTAATCCAAACTTAATTCAAGGAGGGTGCTGTGTTTTGCTGGGTTTCCCCTTCCTTAAACTCTCTCCAGGCAGTAGACTGGGACAACAATAGGGCAAACCTCTAATGTCTAATGTCTTCAGGGCCATTATTTCATAGGTAGGTCTTGACTTTTGGCTTTTTAGGTTTTTTTTAGGTCCGAGATTATAACCAGCCTCTTTTACTTCTTCACAGCCCAACATTCATGTTTTGAGTATTTCGGACATTGATACACATGTAGAGCAGGAGACTACACTGCTTGAAATGTGCTACATCTCAGGACCACAGAGTATGCTGTTCCCTCTGCAGAGAACACTGTTCCACATATTATTCATCTAGTTAACTCCTATTAGGCCTTTAAGTCTCAATCCACATATGGCTTCACTCAGAAGCTTGTCCTGTGAGCATCTGTCCTTTTTTAACTCCTCCTTTTTGATGATTTCATGGTATTCTGTTTTTCCCACACTTATTCACAGTTATATTTATTATATTTATTTCCCTTGTCTTTCTTCAACACAGAATTATAAGCTCTATGAGGACAAAGACATTTTTCTCTGCCAGATCAAAGTAGGTGTTTAATAAATGTTTGTTTGACCAATAAACAGAAAAACCTAGATGAAAGCAGTTGTGTGTGGGAGGGCAATGGTGCCACATAGGTTCTCAGAATAACCATCAGTTGTGGCTGGTGGGAACCACATAGTGGCTGACTGAAATTACTGAGTAGACTTATCTGCAAGCATATCTCAGAGATGTCCTAAAAATTCCAGAAATACTCTAGGATTGGGAGCAGGGGAACCTCTATAGAAGAATGAGTCCCTTCATGGATAGATTGGTTGGTCAGGGGAGTCAGTAAAATCTAGGTTATTATTATTGTGATTTTCTCTGTAAGGGTGTTGTGATTAGGGATAGATACTATATATATCATATTATTATCTCATATATCATTAAATCATATTACATATTATGATGTCATATATAATAATAGATATATTAAGATTATAGGATAAATATGTATTTTTGTTTGCTGTTTGTTTTACCCCTCAGGATGTAAGTTTTATGAAGCCAGGCACTTGGCCTGTCATACTCTCTGACCCTAGAGCAACCTTTCCACATAGTAGGTGCTCAATAAATATTGGTTAAACATGTGAATAAGATATCTTTATACTCTGTTTTCATTCTGGTTAAGTAGTGTCCTAAACAACTATTTTTTCTTTTTTGTTTATTTTTTAAAAAACACAATTAAATGGAAATTAGGCTACATTACCTCTTCATTTTATCATACCTATATAGGTTGTCTGACTGCTGAGATTAAAATGGTTTAAGGAAGGCTCCAATGTCCACCTGGTGTCAGGTTAACTTAATCACAGTCAAATTATCTCAGAGTAAATTAACAGTTTTCAAGAGCTAAGCTTGACAACTCAAACATACAGAAGTTCTGGGGTGTCCATGTGTCCATACCGCACCTTGTGCTGGGGAGAAGTAACTCTGCATTAAGCAGTGGGGACACATCATTAAGGTTATGATCAGGTTCCACTGCAAGGCAAAATAGATCTTGCTGAGAGGCTGCCAACATTCTGCCAAAAACATCACGACTTTGTTACTTATTACAAATTTCTGGTGAGTTTCCTTCTCAAATCAAAAATAGTAATAGGAAGTATTGCTGCCTCAACAGGAAGGCTGGCAGGATAAAGTCTAGGATATGCAGGTTTGGGTGTTATACAAGCAGTGAATGGACAAGGACTTACGGCCACCCACGAGGTAGAGTCACGGGGACAGCCAGGGTCAAGGACTGGGTAGGGTGCTCGGTAGGGAGAGTTGACAGCTGACCCTGGAAAGATCAGAGATAGGATCAAGAAAGAAACCTGAAGATCGGTAGTTTGGAAAGCCTGTGTGGCACTGGTGATGTGGGCAAAGTGAATAGTTCCCAAGGTGATCTGACTTAGATCAATAGGATGGCATCTTTACTCAGAGCTGCTTTTCATGAAAAGCTACTCAGCACATGCCAGCTGTTGCTGCCGTGGTGTGCGTACCACTTGGTCTCTCACTCCATAGCTATTTTGGTTCATGATCACTGAGTGAGTTCCAGAAAAATGAGAAAGGCCTGACTTTACCTAGGGACTGGATTTGATGTGTCAATTAAGGTAAAGCAAAAATCAAATACCAGTGCCATATTTTACCCGTTGTTGCTGTCAGGCAGGGTTCAGTGCATGAAACAGAAACCACTCTGGATATTTTAAACAGAAAGGGACTTAATGTGGAAAATTCAGTACTTCAAAATAATTGGCTGGTACAGGAATAGAGTCAAGGGTTGAAATCATGGACTGAAGACACAATATTAGAGCTGTGATCTATGGGACAGAAAGCTCCTGTCTTCACCACAAATGCTTCTTGGCACACATGAAGCTGGGGTCAAAGCAGTCTTAAACAAGAGGAGCTTAGAAGAAGGTAAGAAAAGTTATGTGGGCATGGTGGAAGACAGCCAGCATGTTGGAGTATGAGGGAAGTACGGAGCAGGCACAATGGGCATTGAGCAGTGGGGCTGTGGGTGATAAACTGAGTATCCTTTTGATGTGTTTTACAGATGTTAGGAAAAGACTGGGTTTATTTTTGAGGGGGGCATAATTCCTTTTGACTATTGGGGTATTCCCTTTTTTATTGAATTATAGTTGATATACAGTATTATATTGGTTTCAAGTATACAACAATGTGATTTGATGGTTATCTACCTTATTAAATGCTCATGGTAACTAGTGTAGTTATTACCTATCAACAGAGAAATATGTTACAGTATTCCCATTTCTGTGTGATTCCAGGCAGAGATTGAGTTCATCAAGATTCCAACGTTAACATTGTTCAGCTACTTTTGTTATCTTGATCATATATATGAAGGCAACTTGAGCAAAGACTGTTTTGGAAGTAAAGTATGATTTGGGGGTTGTGAAAAATGCATTTGACTGGTTTTATGATGGTCTTTGTGAAAGATAAGGTTGGTCAGGTCCATTGGATACAGGTTATAGAAGACTTGGAAAAAAATGTGAATTGAAATCTTTACCAACCAGATCTGTTGTGGACTATCTCTCTGAAAGAAATTTTAGAAAATAAAAAATATTCATAGTTTCATCATGTGGAAAAAAGTTTTCTAGACTTGTATGGGCGCATGTATGTTAAGTGTGTAAAAACTTCATAGTAAGATTAATAATGGAAATTGTACTATCCATAACGTTTTATAACCTATTTAAAGTGTTCTGTGAACACTTTGATATTAAATGATCTTCGCAAAATAATTTTTATGGCAGCACAGTAGTTCATCATATGGGTGTATCATGAGTTATTTAACCATTTCCTTTTATGCTTTATTTTAGCTATTCTTCCACTCCCTTTATGGCTTTTATTATTTGCCATTTCCTTTTGCCATTATATTTTATGTCATTAACATTCATGTGCTAAATCTGTAACTGATAGATTTTCCAGAATTAGAATTACTGATCAAAAGTAATGGACATTGTACTCACTTCAGCAGCACATACACTAAAACTGGAATGACACAGGGAAGATTAGCATGGCTCCTGTGCAGAGATGACATGCAAATTCATAAATCATTCCATATTTTTAGATGGCAACTAGACTTCTTGCAGTGGTCATTTTGCAAGAAAATATATATAAATATCAAATCATTATGTTGTATACCTGAAACTAATATAGTGTTGTATGTCAATTACCCCTCAATTAAAAAAAAGTAATGGACACTTTTAGAGCTCTTGGTAGATACTGCCAAATGGCCTTCCAGGTTTGGAACCTTTTATATGTTTTATAGCAAATGATTGGATTTCCGATTTCACTGCCTCCTCCCCAATACCAGTAATTAACTTTTAAAACATGAACAATAATATCTCATGGTATTAATTTGCATGTATTTGGTTATTAGTGAGTTCTAACAATTTTGCATTTATTGTTTATTTTTCCTCTTAAAAATTAAATTCATGTTTTCAATTTATCTTCTGTCTTCATCATTTAAGACAGCTTGGACCCAACAAAGAGAGATTGCTAAATAAATATTTTTACAATTGACTGAAAAGCCACATGGACTTCGACCCACGAACCAATAATGCATACAGTTATGGCTCTTCTTCTGTTAATCTTCACAAATTTAATGTTTTTCCTATGAAATGTAGTATTAAGAGAAAATGTGATTTTTCTTTCTCCTTCCTATGGTCCTATGAGACATTCTTTCAGTTGAAACTTTTCATTTTCACTGTTCTTCATAGATCATTAGTAGGAACTCTTGGTTTATAGGACAATGTATGGACAACATATTTATTGAACTCTAATTGTGTGTCTAAATGAATGTACCAGCCATGCAACTATAAATGTAAGTCTTTAAAATAATAATTTGCATAATTAGCTGACAGGAAAACATGAGCTATTATTTAAGTTCATATATAGCATTACATCATCAAGTATTAATTTATACTATGTTCTTTCCAGAATGATTGAGCTGTTTGGTAGTTTCATTTATGGCTCATGCTTAGATCCATTTTGCAGTGTAGATAATGTTGAGATAATAGGAATTTATAGTTAGCTCTGACAAGAGGCCATAAAATAAATGACTGGATGTTTTCTCTATTGCTGCAGGCTCAATTTATAACATAAAGTACTTAATAATTGTTATTAATGAACCCGCTGTGGTTGGTATATAGACACAGCTGGAAATCACATCTGTTACCAGACAGCCTAGGTTGAGTAAAGCATAAACACTGCAGGGAACTAATAGCTACAAAAGGAAATGACATCACAGAGCCATAGGAAGTACCCATAGATGTTAGCTGCACCGAGACAGAAGACATGTAGGATAGATTCTGGGAGAAATGACAGAAAACTTGGCTCTCTTTAAAAATTTTCTTCCATGTGGGTCCCAAATGTCTTCGATTGTGAGCCAGAGTTCCACGGTCAATCCATATATTTAATATTAGTAAAGCTTATATCCTAATTTTTAGATAAAAGCAAATAAATATAGTCCAAATTCATCCTACCAAGTTATCTTTCAAGGCTTATCTTCTGCTACCCTTCCTGAAACATTCTGTTGTTCCATTCAAATTGGAATATTCAATTTGTTTTTATAGACTTTTGCTTTCCTGCCTGTATGCTTTACCTTATATTGGTAACTACACTTGAGATAATTTCCCTCAAACTATTTCAAAAGAGAAAGAACTCTTCTTCTTAATTAATTAATTAATTAATTAATTCTCATTTGTCCCTATTCTCAAATTTCATTCCCCTCATTCACCATTGGCAAGCATCCTAGTATATTTCAGTTCTCTTTGATTATATGTAGTCATACAAAATATGCTTTGTTTCGTGTGTCTGTTTTTTAATTTATGGAAATCACAGTAAATAACAGATTTCATTTCCCTTCTTTAACTTAGCTCTGAAGTGCCAAACATGTGCTCTGTGAACATCTAGTCCATTCTTTCAAAATGTTACATAAAACTCCATGTGTACCCTCCAAAACTGATTTGTTTCCCTCCCAGTCAGTGATAGAAAGTCAGACTGCTCTAAATCCCTATCACAATGAGCATTGGTTTCAAGTATACAACAATGAGCATTTTTATGTATGTCACTTGTGGATCTATAGGATAATTTCTTCAGGCTACATAGAGCGTGTGCAAACTTAATTTGGCTAAATGCTGATAGATAACTCTTGAGAATGTTTCACAAATCTCCCAGCAGGAGAGCAAGTGGGTTCTTACAACCGTACATTCTATCAATAGTTGAGATTGCCTAGTTTTACATTTTAACCAAATTAACAGAGATTAGGTGATATTTCATCATTGTTTTTATTTCCTTTTGTGATTACTACTGAGTTGAACATCTCTTGATGTGCTTATTACTTATTAGCTCTTGTGGTTTGTTCTATGTTAATTGCCTTTCACATTTTTGCCCATTTTTTCTGTTGTTATTTATCTTTTGTGGACTTAAAGGAGTTCCTTGTATACTTGTACACTGTCAGTTTTAGATATTGCAAATACTTCTTAGAGTCTGTCATTTCTCTGTTAACTCTACCCATACTTTTCTGCATTAAGCAAAATACTAAGTTTTGATGTAATTATATCCAACAAATTTTTGCTTTTCAAGTATTTCACACATAGTTTTTCCCTACCTATGAATCACAAATATGTATTCTGACATTTTCTTCTGTTTTCTATTTTATCTTTCATTAATCTCTCTGGATTCTATTTTTACATGTTATGTTTATTTAGGGATCCAATTTTATTTTCATCATATACATTATCAAATCATCATAGAAAATATCTCTCTTTTCACTTTTGATTTGTGGTGCTATAATTCTGTTTTTATCATATATCATATATCAATTTCTCACCTGTACATGGTTTTTCCCTGAGTTCTCTGTTGTTCCATTGACCTATTTGTTCATCTATTCCTATATCTATACCAACTTATTTTATTACTGTGTGTTGGACAGGTAGTTTACCATGGTTTCTGAGCAGCTCTGAAATTCTTGCTGAATATGCCAAACTGCAAGGCTTATTTAACCCCTACAGTGAGCAGTTTCTGTAGCTGTTCACATAGGCAATCAAGTAGGTCAAGCTACCATAGCATGACTACTTCTCACTCTGATGGGGGAGAGGAGGAGAAGAAAGGAAGAGACTGTCTTGTTTGCTACTTACTACAGAAGGTGCTGTAACCATCTGGGTGGAGCTGTTTGGTCCCCTGTTGTACACCACTCTTATTGCTTCCACTGCTGAATGTATAATTAGATTGATGTTTTACATGCTTATGCTGTGAACCCTTATAAAATTAAAGGGGCATTGTCCCAGTTGGAAAGAGTCACTTTTTACAGAAATGATAGTGGATACCCCAGACCACCACCTAGGTTTCCAGTTCCCCCGGTGTTATACAACAGAAACGATGCAGAATTCCAGGAAGAAGAAAGGGGATCACAGCACTGGAGTCTGTAAACTCCAAGGACCCTTTTGAACTTCAGCTATCTGTTACTGATAACTACGCTGATTGAAATGAATATTGGTAAATGTTCTGTTAACACTTGAATGTGTATACTCTTCTTGAAAAGGGGGAATATTCATTAGTATCAGTTAGTTAAATTGGTTAACGGTGCTGTTCAAGTCTTCTTTATGCTTACTAGATTTCTGTCTATAGTGTCTATCAATCACTGATTGCAGAGTATTGAACTCTCCCACTGTAATTGTGGATTTGCCCACTTCTCATTTCAGTTCTGTTTTTTTCCATGTTTGTATGAATTCTGTTATTAGATGCATACACATTTAAAATCATTATTTTTTATGAGTTAACCACTTTATTGTTAGGAAGTACTACTTTT